AATGTCTTCATTAAAAGAGAAGAGCCGACCCACAACAGGTGCATATCGAAATGATTGGAAGCTGCCAAGCTCAGTTTTGACCTGACAGATAATTGTTACGTGTGGACTAATGAGCTGTTTGCCGATATGCCGGTTTAATAACTTAATGTAGCCTTGACGGAAAAGTTTTAGAATTGATTTAGGAGTTTAATCATTATTATTATTTAGCTAAGGTTCTTCTTATTATTTTTCGAATACATATTTATTGTACATATATATTTATTTATTATTAATTAATTGGAATTTCATGAACTTCCTATGTTTGTAGTTTTGGACTGCTTTCTTTTCAGTTCATTTAAATCGCTGTTAATCTTTAATTAATATTACTTTTTGCTAATATAATGAATAGTAAAAAGGAAAACGGTACTGAATATTATAATTTATTCTATTAAAAGTCTTTTAATTACCTTTTCGTCACGATGTTTGGAGCGATATTTATAATTCCATTTCTACCTTAATCTATATTGTAAAAATTGAGTTGACAGGTAAACGACAAAGGCAGATGGCAGTTGGATGATCCCCGTAATAATATCTCTGTTATTTGAAAGCCTAAGCTTATTTAAACAGAATCTTTCTTTAATTACACCGTCTTGAATGCTTTAACCTGCTTTGTTTACAGAGTCACGATCCCGGTAATTGTTTCGCTGTTCCGTTGACAGGCACCCTGGGGACGCACCGATTGGCGGGAATCTCGCAAGATGGCGGCCGACCTCTCCTGACCCATCCGTCAAGCGCCAAGGCGGAACATCTGTTTTAACATGTCGGACTGGCAGTTAATAAACGCGTTCTGTTTTCGTATTTCAAATCTCAAACTCTATGGTTTTTGTAAAGTTCGAAGAAAACAAATTTGCCGCCTTAACGAAGTCACTACGCTGAGCCAAGGTATTTCTAAATGGATTTGTTTCCACGAACGTTAATCTGTTGGATGCAAAAGCGACATTGTGACATTGATTTAAATGTTTCTGTCCACACTTTTTTCTGATTAATTAGAGACAAAATTACGTTTCAAAGAATACGTGCCGGCGAGAATATTTATTAGAAACCAAGATGTTAACTTAAGCTCGCTTGTCTCTGGAATTAAATAGCTCGTGATACATTACATAAAAAGTTGAAAATATTACATCATACAAGAATTTAAATAAAATATGTAAGATACTCATACATTTTTAATGTTTGAAATTGTAAAAAGGTCTTTGTCCATATTAATTCATTCTGACAAATCTGTCATCTTTGAATTTCTTTACATAATTCTTCAATATTCCCCAAAAAATTTACACAATTTTTACATAATGATAAATTGAAGATAATATTATCGGAAAAAGTAATCTTAAAGATAAAATGTTTTCATAAACGTATTTTGTATAAAATAGGTCAAACATCGAACGCTTTCAATTCCCGATAAAGACTATGATCAATAAGCGTTAAATGCAATGGTGTCATCGTTTATAAAACAAAAAAAATCTACAAAATAAGCCATTAAGTTAATACACAAGAATATAATGGCCGACGCCTGAGGCAGTCAATTTCCGTTACTTGATGTTTGCAGCTGAAATTTTGCAAGAATATTCGAAGTTTGACTGCGAAGGAGTTCGAATCTGTTTACAACAGTTGTTAACATGTTGAACAATCATCGCTTTATCCTGTGATGTACTATTAATATAAATTGATAACGGTTTCTAGATTCGAGTCATTTATTATTAAACTATTGTTCTTCATAACATACTTGATCAGTCAAATTAGATATTCTAAATTTAAAGAAATATAAATAAAAAAGAAATGAAATTACATATTTCAACTAATAAAGCTGCCAGTTCTTCAGCTATATTTCGACTTAATATTTAATTATGAATTTGGAATAAAGATATATTTAATATAATTATAGTACATATAATATAATATGTCTATTTTTATATTTATATATTGAATTATTTATGGATTGAATTTAAAAGTACTTAAGTAATTTTAAATTTAAATGTATTTTTAAGTTTTTTCAAAAAATAATAAAAATATTATATATATATATATATATATATATATATATTAATTCTTCTTTTTCTTTCTTATATATAGATATTTATGAACATATCATATGATGATAATAGGCTAATTTTGGCATAACTTTTGACTTACCTGTTATAGGTATTTTGAATAGTAAATATAATTAATTGCTATTCACCGTCAGATTTCTCATACTTTGTACCATGTCAAGGTAATAGGCAACGATGCACAATCTAATATGCGAATAACGCTATGCATTAGAATGAGACAGGATGTAGGCAGCTATCCCGCCAACACTGCAGTTAACGCGTGATCGTTATTTTGATATATTACGTAGGAGTACGTAGTATATCAATATATAGGTACATCAAATATATATCTTGTGTAACCTAGTGTTGTATTAATTACATGTAATTGCATTATATTAATTGTTAGTCCCAGGATCTTGTAAGTTATTGTCTAGTAAGTTGTTAAATTAAATTAAATCCAAGCATTTAAGAAATTTATGCCTGGACTTGAAGTTTGTGTCTTAAAGTAATTCGATTAAGGAATGAAATTGTGAGTATGAAAAACATGAAATGTGAGGAAAATAAATACTATTTGAACAGCATTGCCAAAATTGATATTTTTTTAGCAATTTTTGGTAAAACATTCTGTTCGTGAAATTTTCGAGCAATAAAATTGGAGAAATGGAGAAACTATTGAGGAAAAGCGAAATAGGCTTAAAGAAATTAGAGTAAATATTTCGGTACTTGTAAACAGTATATATGAATGATGGTAGCAAAATAGATCACCATTATCATCACCTTATCAGCCATTAACTGTTCACTGCTCAACATAGGCCTCCCTCATACACTGCCATAAGAAACGGTCCTTAGCCACCTGCATCCATTGACTCCCGAGCAAGCAAACCAGGTAGGAACATACAAAAGGGCGTTACCTAATTTTGTTTTCACCGTTCACTTTGTGATTTATGATAAAAATGTATGATAACTTGAGAGTGGATAAAAGTAAAGGAAATCATATTGATTTGGAGACAAAATATTTGAAGTGTGAGTAAGAATAAAAAATCGCATTTGGCGTGTATTTAATATTTACATCATCATCATCAAATCAGCCATTAACTGAATTGCTGAACAAAGGCCTCCCCATAAGGGAGGGTTTTGCCAGTAGTTGCCACACTTGGCAGGCGGGTTAGCAACTGCAGTTAGGCTTTTGATAATGTTTTAAGATGGACGCTGCTGCTCATCTCTCGACCATTAAGTTCTCATGGCTGCATACGATATCCATGGATAAGGAATGGATAGGTGATACTTAAACTACAGTTATTTCTATTTGATCTCAATTTGCCTCAAAAGTCAGCTTAAAGTTTCTTCCTTAAATTGGTCTAACAGGGAATACAATCCGGAACCACATACACAAAGCAACAAGTAGTCTATGTTGCGCCATGCAAGCTTTCCGATTACAAAACCGGAAATTTTACGGTTTCTACGTAGAATAAACGTGCATTTGTGCGTATTCGAAATTTTATGCGTTGCAAAGTAAACTGGCCGTAAAGTTGAGTTGGTATCACTTATTTATTGCGAAGCTCGGCCTTTATTACGTATTTATAACGTTATTTTACTAGTTAGTGTTATATTTAATGAATTCTTTCGATCATAATGTGTTTCTATCAAAATTCCGTAAAAAAATATAAAAGAGAATTTATTTACTCTTTATTGCACCACTTAATGAATAATACAAATAGGTATATATATAAAATATATTACATTTATGAAGTACAAAGGGTTATTGCAGACAATCTTTGGGTAGACGTGAAATTCCTACACATTAATTTAAAATTTTATTAACTAGCAAAATGTGAACCATAAGGCAAAATCATTAATTAATGCTATAGGCATTCTTTAGCAGTAAAATTTTAGTATGTACAGAGATACTTGATAGCGATTTAAATAATAAAATAGAGTGTTTATATATATATATATATCAACATCATCATATCAGCCTTTAACAGTTCACTGCTGAGCATTAGTCTCATTAGCCCTTGGGAGGTTTTGTCAGTAGTCGCCACGCTTGGCAGGGAGTTGACAACCGCAGTTAGGGTTTAGAGATGTTTTAAGAGAGACGCTGCTGCCTATCCCTCGTCCTCCCTTAGTCGGCTGTTACGACACCCACGGGAATGGAAGGAGTGGCCTATTTTATACCGGACTGTATATACCATATATGTGTATATATATAACTTTATCTAGTACCCATATTAGTCTAGTTGTATAACAAACTTTGCTTTCCTTAGTTCAGGACTAGATAGCGTGATATGATAAATCTAGGGATATTTATTTATATTTATCTTGCCAAGAAACTGTTTCGCAGTTTGGAAAAATAAGGTTTGATTGTAATATATATGTAGGATATTTTTCTTGAGAATGTCGAGCAAACTGATGCCCCACCTAACGGAAGGTGTTAACATACAAGCTGATGTATATATATATGTATATATATATATATATATATATATATATATATGAAATACTAAGCAATAATTTTAAAACATCAATATAAAGAAGTTAAAAAAGGGCGGTACTTTTTCTGATATAATTAAAATATTTTAAAAGTTGCGTTATTAGTTATGTTATGAGGTAACAAATGTAAAAAAATACAAACGAATTGCACCTCCTTTTTTGAAGTCGGTTCATTGTATAATTTTTACGTAGTGTCGGCTAGATGTCAACTCATTTCAGAAAAAATGCCACCGCCCTCATTTAGAAACTTAGTCATTTCACGACATCTATATTTGAACACGAGCCCAGTTTATTACCTCGGAATATAGAAGCCAAACTAAACAATGATGGAATTAGATACTCTTGTTCTGACGATTATGATGTCTCATTTTGAAGACGGATCGTAACCCATTTTCAAAGTAGTATAACTTTTCTATGATAGTAAAAAAAAAACATATAACTAACCTATATAATGATGTCTCGAAGTTTACAACGACATCTGAAAAAAGGAAAGTACAGATTAGAAAGAATGTTATTTTTAATTAGTTAATTTTTATTATTGTAAATTTTAATTAACCAAGTTGGTTTCCAAGGTAAGCCGCGTGGAAGTCGACCTGATAGAGTATATTGCTAGCAACGGGACCATTGTTTTTTTTTTTTACAACACAGGGGTCAAACGAGCATGCGGCTCACCTGATGGTAAGTGACTACCGCCGCCCATGATCACCCACAACACCAGCGGCATTGCAGGTGTGCTGCCGGCCTTTTAAAAAGGAATATACTCTTTTCTTGAAGGTTATGTTGTCGTATCGGTTCGGAAAAACTGCTGCTGGAAGTTGATTCCAAAGAATGGTTGTGCGTGGAAGAAAGTGCCTTGAAAAACGCACGGTGGAAGATCGCCACTCGTCCAGATGATCGGGATGAAACTTTAGTTTGTGGCGGGTTGTACGGTGGTGAAAATTAGCAGCAGGTATCAATCCGAACAATTCCTCAGAACACTCCCCATGATAAATTCGGTAGAAGATGCACAGAGATGCAACATCTCTGCGCAGTTTCAGTGGGTCAAGTCGGACAGTAAGGCGTTGACTATAAATATGTATATGTTGTTTATAAATATGCTCGTTCTTTTCTTTATAATGCCATTTATTATTATATTAATTATAAATGAAAGAACCGTCTATAGACGTGATAATTTTAATTTTGTTATTATTCACTTATAAAATCTATAATTATTTATATTATTAAAATTTAATGAGAAACTTTACAATTGGCTTTTTGAGAATTTTTATTCACTTAAAGACTATTTTAGTGTAAAATTTTAAGAATAAGTTCAAAATGAAATATTTCCACGCCACACGGTCGAATGCAGTCTTTTCTTTAACATTACGTACTTTTAATATAATAACCTGTATTCAAGCGAATAAAGTAATTCATTCATTCATTCAATTATTCATTGGTTCCATTTTTGAAAATACATTATTAACACTATCGTTCCCCCCAACTCTATAAGATTAGGTTCCGAATAATTCCGAAATACACGCGAAGCGAAAACAAATTCTTCAACATTCCAGTAACAAAGCAGGTCGTTACACTCGTACATGGCCTGATATAATAAAAAGGGGACATAAAAGTATTTTTTTTTAATATCTCATAAAGTGTACTAATATATTCTTATAGGAATTCTCGGCGAAAATGTTATTATCTAGACTCCTAGTTAAGATCAACGAACTTACACAAAGAGTAAGCGTGGGCGTTTTATATTGACAAATAATATCTGTATTGCATTCTGTCTCGTATTTTACTTAGTTTTATATTAATATCATTTAATTTACATGTTTGATAACAATTTCTATAATATGAGTAGTAATAATAGATTGCTACTTGTAAAACTCGACTTGAACACGTTTATAGGCTAAGATCCGGCTACTAACTTCTGTAGGTATAAGGTTTTTCAACCCAGTTTAAAATGAAAGGAGGTTTTCAATTCGTTTGTCACCTCTTAACTCCATCAGTTGTAAACTGATCAGAAAAATTATTTTTTTATTTTGAAAGAATATATCTATAGATTGGTCATATATATGACGGCCATAAGTTGAACTATAAGACGTTTCAAGGTTATCCATTCATTACCGGACACCCTGTATAAATTTTATCAAAATCAGAGGGCCTACCATAAAATGTTTTCCGTAATTGCGAGGCCCGATCGAAACAAAAATTCATAATTTTATTCGAAGTCAAAATTACATAACACGGACCATTTAAAAATATCAAAAATGTTAAAGTATCGTTCCTTTGGACTTTCAAGGTAGGATTTATGACGAACCAAATCTTAAGCTTTATTTACTGTACCGATTTTGGTATAAACAAAAACACGAAATGTTCGAAAATTCGAGTCCGAAAATTCAGTAGTTTCGTTAGGAAATCAATATAACTGGTTTTGTTAAAATTGAAGTTTTTCCTGATGTAAAACTAAACAACTAAAATTATTTTAATAAAATTTCAATCTGAAAACATATCCTTAGAGATAAATAAATTAGAAATTTCCAAATTGGTTAATAAATAAAGGAGATATGATGTAACATATATAAAAAAAAACACAACCGAATTGAAAGGCTCTTCTTTTTTTAAGTCGGTTGATAAATATGCTAACGACTCCACAGTCGTTACAATGCCTCTAATAACACCATTTGTGATCACTCACAAGTGGATTAATTAGATGCTTTGTCGATTGTCACCTATTATTATAGTGAAAGCAATAGCGTCAAAGACAAACCTTTATCACAGACTAGCTGTTGTCCGCAGCTTTGCACACGTTTTATCACGATTTCTATTTAAGTTGAAATTCTCGAATATCATTTCTTATTTCTTACGTTATTAACAAACCTTAAAACTTGTTTTAGCTATTGAACTGTTTTGTCTCTTTCTTTTACGTCAAATTCCAAATTTGAAAGAATGTGACAAAAGAGTGTAATAATTAAAATTAGTTTGCAGAAAATTTTACTTTTTCTGAATAAGAGAGTTACTCTTCATCATAGACTAGAAGTTGTCCTCGGCTTTGTACACGTTGTATCATGTTTCCCTTTTAAGTTGAAATTGTCGAATATCCTTTTCTTAGCGGATGCTTACATTATAAAATTTGGAGCATAACTCCAAAATAATTTAGTCTAGAAATCTATAAAGATTTCTAGACTTGGTATTTTTTATTGTGCATTAACAAACAATTAGGATAAACGATTTTATAAGTATATGATTACTTAACATTATTAAAGTAGGCATACTGTGTAAGTAAAGTTCAGTTTTGTTATATTTTGGAGTCTAAAATTAGGAAGCATGTTAACAGCTATTAATGCACGTATAGTATTTCCTAAGAGATTTTTTTAATGAGTAAAAAGGAGATGGCAACCCTACCTGCACTATCAGTCTATACTGGTGGGGCATCAGTGAGAAATGTTAAGGAAGGTAAGTATGAATACTGATCAATTCGTCCATCATGACAAATACAATAATATTTTTTTTTTATACCACTGAGGTGGCAAACAAGCATATGGCCCACCTGATGGTAAGCGGTTACCGTAGCCAATGAACGCCTGCAATACCAGAGGTGTTACACGCGCGTTGCCGACCCTGAAGAAACCTCTTTACCCCCCTTTTAAAGAACCCCATGCTGTAGTCCCTTAGGAAAACCTCGGCAGGGAGCTCATGATGATGGTTTGCGTGGAGGTCGATCTGATAGGGTATATTGCTAACAATGGAGCCTTTAAATAGATAGATAAATAAATAGATACTCTTTATTATTTCCTCCGAAAGATTACAATAGTAAACTTACGCATTAAATAGACAAGAAATAATCACAGTAAGAAAACAATGGGCGTCCTTAACGCTAAAAGCGATATCTTGCAGGCAACCTTTTAGAGCCTATTTCTCCCTTCTCCCCCATCATCTAAAAGTTGGTTGGAAATTAATAAGCATATGCATTGATGAGGTTTTATTTTGATGGGTGAAAATTGTATGGTAACCCCGCCTGCGCTAACGGGATACGCTGGCGGAGCACCAGTGAAGGGTGATAGATGAGAACGAAAACAGGCCAGTCAGCCCATCACGATGAATTCTTCAAGAATTAACCATGATAGTTTCCAGGGAGAAACGCGAGGAGGTCGACCTGGTTGAGTATATTGCTAGCAATGGGATTCTCAGTTTTCATTACTAACAATCCCTTTCCCCCAACATTGATGAAATTATAATAGAATTTATGACCATTCGCCGTCACATCGAGGTCTTTTCGATTCAGTATAATAAACCAAACCATAACGTCCTCGTTACATAGATTACCAGACATTTTAGTATTGTTGTTATATGTATTTTTTTAATACATACATCATTACCGTGCTATATAAAAAGCAGATCTAATGATCGTACTCTCATTCCCTTCACACGTTATTCCCATTACTGGGAAGGTATCCGTCGATGCGGACACAACATCGGCGCCGATTTCTAACAGCATACACCCGTCTCTATCTAACCTATCACTGTACGATACACCTATCTCTCTCCCTACCTAGAACCCTTTGCGGCGATCTGGACAAACAACGCATGAGTTCCGAATTAAGCAATTATAGTTAATTTCGAACCTTGGCCGTATTATAAGCGAGTCGTGTCGGCGAGAGAAATGTGTTATTTTGTATCATAATTTGTGAGAAGCCATCCGCTTGAGCAGCTGTAAATTACATATCCAACGTATAAAATGTACGTAAATTTTTGAGTGAAGTATTAGGCGGCTACTTATTGAGTGTGTTACACATGAGCCAAATTAGATTCGTGTCGGCACTGTTATACGGGCGTAAAGTAGGAAGTATGAGGAAAATTACATATTAAATTATAACGGATGGATTATATATTGGATTAAATGTTATAAAAAATAAATTTTATATTATTTTTGTATTTTTAACGTATGCAAAATGGTTCATAGTTAACATCATATCTTTTGTCATATCGTTAAAAGCCCAATCCTGTACATTAGCCACTTTCATAGAGAGAGTTTTATCAGCAGTAGTTGCTACGCTTGACAAGCAGGTTGGCAACCGCAGTTAGGATTTTAGACCAAGCAAAGATGGAACTCACAACAAAATACATTAATTAGTGTATGTGTCACAGTAACACAACTTTATTTTTGGTATTTGATTTTTTAAATGCAATAAAGGTTATTTAAAATCATATATATTTATACACAGAATTCGCAGCGTGCGAGTTCTGTGTATAAATATAGCAGAGTTAAACTAAGAACCAAACTTAGATACCGAAGTAAACGAACGCAGCTCCTAAAAATCGTTCTAAAGAGGCAATTACTCAATCATCAATAACCATCCTGTCAGATCGAATTAAAGATCCAACGCTTACCTTACCCGCTAACTTTTACACTGTATATCAAACTTTAATTTTAAATGATAGACAGGAAAAAATTATAAACTCACAGCTGCGTAGGTGATTCAATCGAGTTATATA